AGAGAGAGAGAGAGAGAGAGAGAGAGAGAGAGAGAGACTATGCTTTTCTAAGTTAGGATTCAGAAAAAAAGACCAACAGGCTCTAAGGTGCTGTCTGCTGGAAGCATACCAAGTGTCTGCCAGAGGAAGAAGCTTTTGGAAGGATAAATACATAATCTCATTAAGAAGAGAATTAGTCCTCCTTTCTTCTTAACATATCACCAAGTGAACTAGCTTTCCCAGGGAGACAGACTCTTGGCGAGGTGACCAACAGGCCCAGCTGGTTTAATTCTTGAAGGAAGAGACAATAGCATGTCATTTTTTGGTAGCTTAGAATGTGAGGTCTTCACCCAGGGCCAGAGGTAGAATTTAGGTTCTATTCTTTTGACAAGGAGAAGGTAGATTTGCCTTAATGGACCTCAGCAATGCCTAAATAACCTCTCCCTTTAAAAAAATTCATGTGTATGTATGTCTTGCCTGCATGTATAGATGTGTACCACAGGTGTACTTGGTGCTCAGAGAGGCCAAAAGAGTGCCTCAGATTCCCTGGAATTGGAGCTACAAATGGTGATGATCTGCCATGTGAGTACTGGGAACTAAATCCAGGTCCTCCACAAGATCAGAAAGTGCTCTTAACCATTGAGCCACCTCTCCAGTTCTCCTTTTTATACTGTACTTTAAATACTAAGGAGGAGTTTTCCTTTCTAGTGTTAACTTGGGAAATGAGAGATAGGGTCTATAGTCAACCATGAAACAGGGGTTTATCCTCAGTGGCTCCCAAGGCTGTTAATTCTGTAACAGCTTTTTCAGGGCCTGTGTAAATGAATTCTTCACCAAGGAATGCAATCATATGGCATTTGAAATACAGGATGACTTCAGCAGATGGAACGGTGAGCTGTGCTTTGTGGACAGCAGACCTGTGAGAAGCGGAAGTGGTGTCTCTCAGTCCAGAAGCCTTTGAACCCTCCATTATCTCCATGCTTCACAGCCGGCCAGACACTTCTGAAGTCTCTACCTAGAGAAAATACTGCCAAGGAATGCATTATCCTTTATCCTTCTTTGAGCAACTTTCTGTAAACTACTGAACTATTTTTATGACTCATTTATGGCAGAGATATAAAGCTGGGGCAACAGTTTCATCAGAAGAATATAATTAACTTGATTTGCTTTCTCAGAATTTTGTGTAGTGAAACTTTCTCCCTTTCACAGCAGCTATCTCTGAATACCTTTTGTCTTTTCTTGGTTTAGCTTAAATACGCACAAAATTAGTTCCATGAAAATCCAGAATCTAGTCTGCTATCTAATATCCTACACAGCATATTTCAAAATGTTTGAATTATTTGGCCAAGCGTGGTGGTACACATTTGTAATCCCAACACTTGGGAGGCAGTGGCAGGTAGATCTTTATGAGATGGAGGCCAGCCTGGTCTATATATTCCAGGATTTCCAGGCCAGCTGGGGCTATAGAGACCTTGTCTCATAAAACAAAACAAAACAAAAAAATGTTTACATTTTTTTCTCCTGTCACCTTTTCTCATCAGCAGAAAAGGAGAAAGACAGATTCCTTAGGATGCAAACATTAGCAATGGCATAACATTCATAAATTTTGTAAAAGCAAGGTGATATGTTTTTTCTCTTCCTCCCTCTCTCTCTCTTCCTCTCTCCCTCTCCTTCTCCCTCTCATTCTTCTTCTCCTCTAGGTCTCATGTAGCCCAGGATGACCTTGAATTCCCTATCTTCCTTGCCTCAGCCTCCGAATTGTTCAATTACAGGTGTTTACCCCCAGGTCTAACCTTCACCAGTTCCTATAATTTTCCTGAGGTTTAGACAAGCCTTCTGCAAATCTTCTTGCTAGTCCTTTAAAAATTTTATTTTTGTTATTTATTTATTCCAGGAGGGGTAGTGAGAGAGCACATGAGCCATGGTGTGAGTGTAGTGATCAGAGGACTACTTGTGGAAGTTGGTTCTCTCCTCTCACCATGTGGGTCCTGGGAACTGAACTCAGGTTGTCAAGCTTGACAGCAAGCTCCTCTCCCTGCTGAGTCATCTTGAGGCCCCTCTCTAGTACTTTCAATCATTCTGGCTATTTACTATTCAGAGCTCACATCAATCATGGACCCAGTTCTTAGAGGTCTCTCGGTAGATGGTCCACTTTCCAGAAGTGGTTACACTTGGGATCTCCCTCCATCTCTTATCCTGGAGTTCCCGATTTTAGGGATCAAACCAAGGGCCTCACACATTCTTGGCAAGCACTCTACCACTGAACTACATGGTTGACTCTTTTTACTTTTGATTTTGAGGCAGATCTCACTAAGTTGCCCAAGCTGGTCTTAAACTTGGGACTCTCCTGCTTCAGCCTCTCAGGTAGTTGGGATCACAGGCCTGGGCTACCAGGCCCAACTTCACTTGGGCTCTTCTGGGTCACAGTACTCACCAAAGAACTGGCAGATAAGCCATCAGGAGCTGAGTGCTTGGGGAGCTGGTCCTCCTCCTCTGTCTCTCTCAGTGTGGAAGTGTTTGTAAGAGCATTTCCCCTTTGCGTAAGAGGACACACCAAAGGAAGTGAACAGCAGGTGAGAGAATCCTAATATATGCTTATTCTTATAAAACATTTAAAATGTAAGTTTGTTGTCATTTAAAAACTTACAAGAGCTCATTTTAGTTTATTCTGATTACAGAATCTTAACGTGTTTGACAACTAGCTTTCTTTAATATGTAAGTTCAATAAATCTATAACAAATATGTATGTATGTGAATTAATCATAAATGATAAACCACCTTTCAAAAGTCTTTTGATTTACTCAGTCAACTAAACTCTAATCATTTTAAGACGTATATCAAAGCATTGTTTCTCAATGATTTTTTTTCTTCCATCCAGAGCACTAAGGGCAATCCTGTCAGCCGTGAAGCCGTTGTTTGACCTGTGTTGTCAAATGCTCTGTGAAAGGATGTTCAGAAGGGCACTGTGTGATGTCAGCTTGCATTAGTCCTTTCCCAAAGAGAGGTGCTCAGTATTCAAACTGTGTTTGTTCTGGCATAATCTATTTAGGCTTCAGCTTCGTTCTGCAGGTTTACAAGTACAGGCTTCCTTAGAAGAGTCTTCTTTTTTGCCATTTCTGTACTAAAATAATTTCTAAAAGGACAATTATGATATAAGCTGCCTTCAGGGAAGCCAGTAAGAAACTGGTAAATATTTTAGAGAATCAAAATAGAAAGTTGGTGACAAACTGATGTTAAATTCTCGCTATTTTCATCATAGATATATTATAAAAATTAAAATTATTATGTATTCACCTAAGAAAAGATTTCTCAGTAAAGCAAATCCATCCATGGCATTGCATGTTTCATGTAAAAGATAATTTATCAGTTTTCAGTTGTCCTGTGCTAGATTCCTAAAATTACGGAAAGTCCTTTAATTCATTTAAAATCATGATTGTACATTAACAAATACCTAATGTTTTTCTGATTGGATTTCATAAACATCAATATGAGGGTAATAAAAAGTCTTGATCTTAAATTCATCCTTTGAATGAACAATGTAAACCACTAATTCATCAAGCCATCTTGTTTATAAAACAAATCAGGGAAAGGTTTCTTTATTAAGATTCTAAATCTGGATTTTGATGATTTTAAATGAATTCATGTTTTCTCTAATCCTGCATGAACAGGATTTCCAGAGCTGTCAAATAGCAACTATGATTCAGTTAGTTGGCTGGTAGAGATCTTTTTCAAGCTTTATCTTTTCAGCCATCCTTTTGTGAAGCCGGGTTCTGGTTGGTTCAGTGAGTACCAAGGGTTCTTGTATGACCGTTGCTGGGTAATTTTTACCCAATAGTTCAACCTCTACTTGCTGTCCCACTTCACTAAGCTCTATAGGGACATAAGCAAAAGCCAGACTCTTCTGGATGCTGTAACTATAGCTTCCGGATGTTGTGTTGCCAACCACCTGAAAAACAAGAGCCAGCAGTCCTTAGCACAGTGGTCACAGCCTTGCTCCATGTCTCAAAATGTTTCCTGAGCCACAGAGTCAGTTAACAATATGAAGGCTTCTATCAACATTATACAAGATGACTGGTTTCATTATGAAATAGTTATACATACACATTAGGTCCCTTGTTAACTTTCACACACCCCCTTTTATCCTTCTTCCCTGCCCCCCATCCCCTTCTTCTCTGTCTCCCTTCTACTTTTATGTCTCATATTGTTTTAAATCTAAATTTTACATATGAAAGAAAACATGTCATTTTTTTCTGAGTCTGATTTATTTTACTTAACATGATCTCCAGTTCCACCCATTTTCTTTCAAATGACATGATTTTACTCTTCTTTATGGCTGAGTAAAAGAAACTCCATTGTCCCACTGAAAAGATGGCTTAGTGGTTAAGAGCATTGACTATTCTTGGTTGCAGAGGACCAGGTTTTGATTCCCAGCACTCACAAGGTGGCTAACAACCATCCAAAGCTCCAGTTCCAGGGGATCCAATGCCCTCTTCTGACCTCCTCAGGCATTGCATGACACAGGTGCACTTACGTACATGTAGGCATTATATTCATTTACAAAAATGTTTTAATTAAACCTCATTTTCTGTATCCATTAGTCTTTTGATGGACATCTAAGTCAATTCTGCATTTGGCTATTGTGAATAGTGCTGATCATGGGTGTGCAGGTGTCTGTGTGGTGTGCTGAATTAGATTCCTTTGTATACACACAGGAGTAATAGTTGGGTCATATGATAGTTCTACTTTGTTTTCTGATGAACCTCTATGCTGACCTCCATAGAGGCTGGACTAGTTAATATTCCATCAACAGTGTCTAAGAGATCCTTTGCCCTCACATCCACACCAGAATTTGCACTCGAAATTTCCCTTGAAATTAAAGTTTTTGTTTGTTTTGTTTTTATTTTTATTTTTAAATTTTATTATATTATTTATTGTGTGTGGGTGGGTGGGGTGCACGTGCTACCACGTACATGTGGAAATCAGGACAATTTGGAATTGGATTTGTTTCCTTTCACTATATGGGTTCCAGGAATTGAATCCAGGTGAACAAGCTTGGCAGCAAGGGCCTTTACCTGCTGAACTGTCTAGCCAGCCCTGAGTTGACTTTTTTTTGAGACAAGGTTTTATTGTGTAGCTCAGGCTAGTCTCATTATCATTGTGCCTCAACCTCCTGCATACTGGGATTGAAGGCATTTGGCAACACACCCAGCTGCACACTTAGTTTCAATACCCAGCATTATTTTGTTCAATTTCAAACTAAGGGATTTGTTAGAAGGAAGAATGGACTATTTGCATTTTAAACTTAAAAAAGTCTCCTTTATCATTAAACAAATATGGTAATAAAAGAGAAAAAAAATTAAAAATCAAAATGCAAACTTGGTTAACTGTTCCTAATGGAGTTTAGAAGATGGCTTGCCAAAATAGCACTGAAATAAACTATTTATTAATATAGCAATAGTCAAATGAAGTCAATAGTCTATATGAAAGAATATAGTGTGCATATATTTATGTACATATTTTAGTGAACAATCCTTTCTAATAGTAGCTTTTTTTTTTTCGGTCGTTTTGAAACAGGGTCTCCCTGTAGCCCCAGATGACCTGGACTCATTATGGAAACCAGGATGGCCTTAATCTCACAGATTCTTCTGCTTCTGCCTCCTGAGTGCTGGGATTAAAGGCATGTGCCACCATCCCAGCAATCCTTGCTGATTGTAAGGCATTTAAGTAAATGCTAATTTAACACTTTAGCTTGACCATATTTTCTAGACTCCAAAGGAATGAGTTAGAGTCCTGGTACCTACTTTCAAGAGTTCACAGCTTAGTTGGGGGAATTAACAGAGATACAGAAAAATTGGGCGAAAGAGCTATGGCATAAAACATGAAGGATTTACTCTATAACTTGAAGAAGAGTTGAATTAGGTTGGCAAAAATGGAGGATGAAATCTACCAAAGGAGAGAAGTCTATTGTCAGCACACGATAATCAATAGAAAGATGTTGAATGAAATTGCACCTTATCTCTGTTTGCAATGAACAAAGAAGCGAACTATTCAAGCCAGAGGATGGCTCAAGGTAACTGGGGATGCAAACGGTACCAAACAAGCACTCAGAACCCAGGAGATGCCAACAGAGGCTTTATGTGACAAAGAAACAACAAAAGCTATGTAATAAGTCTGGTTAGAAGAAAAGAAAGTCAGTTTAAACCAGATCTAAAGGAAAGAAAGAGAATAAAAGTGGAGGAAAAAAAGCAAAACCAAAATAAAACAAAACAAAACAAAAATACTGTCAAGTCAAAACGCTGCTTGGAAAAAAAATAAAAAGAAGACAACAAAATCAAAATATGATATATAAATAAATGTTTTGTTTTGTTTTCCTGGTCTCATAATATTGTGCTGTTCTCTCTGGTCAGCAGCCCAGTGCTGTGGGCTGCACATGTCCGGTGTCAACTCATGGCCATGATGAGTTGGCCTGGTCATTCAGACAAGAGCCCACTAAAGTCTACAGTCCTACAATATCACTTCTAGCCTCTTAGCTCCTAATACATTTATGAACTTAAGTGTAGGCCCTTATCTCTGTGGTTCCAGTCTTTAATGATCTCTTTGAAGACCCAAATCAGAAGCTCTCTGTAAGATTTCTGAATTTGTGATAAGAACTGATTGAATAAAGACAAAAACAAGAGACTCAAATGTCTTCATCTGGTACATGATTAACAGTCAAGATCTAGCATATATTTTAAGTTGTTTTTCTCCTTTTGGAGACAAGTGACCATTAGACAGGGGTTTAGGTCCAAGAGGTTGGAGTTCAACCTGTACTTTTTCAAAGGCTTTCTTGGTAACTTTGATTTCATTTCCAAATCTTTTTAAAACAGTTTTTTGTTTGGAGGTAGGAGAGTTCACCCGGTTTGCCTTAGCAACTTAAGAAACGGGAAGAGTTCAGGGGTGACTCTTGGTACAATCCCCTGACTCACTGGTCACAAGCCCCTCGATCACTTCAGAGACTCCTCATCACCTTGTCTTTCCAATTCCCACAGTGACGGCCTGGCAGTCATTTCTGCTTTAGTCACCGAAGGAAACAGTGTTCATTTGGAGTGCTAATTTTTAAATGCGCTTCGTTTTCGGCTAGAATTGACTTTCATTTCTACTTTAATTCTCTCTGATCTAGGGGTTAGTAGCCAGGGTGTTTTCAAAGTCTGGCCTTTCCTTTTATCTTATTACTAAATCTCCAGAGAAAGGTTTTTTTTCCCTAGCATAAACTCTAAGTAGTTCTACCTCAACTCTTCCAGGTTTGATTAGATCGTTCCTCTGTTCACTGAGGGCATTGTAAGGATACTTGTCCCCACCCTCCATAGAACACTGACCTTGTTTTTTACCGATGTACATAATTCTCATTTATTTTTAGGTTTTCTCATTCTATTCTTAAATTACGTCCCTAGCTGACTTAAGACAGCATAATAAATGACTTTCAAGGAGGTGACATCCCTTAAAGTTGGATGGTATGTTGTGTTTCCTTTGCTGTAGTACCTATGCATTTCAGTTTGTTTAAAAAAGAAGAAAACCTCCTGAGCTCTCCAGACTTTCCCACAATCTTTTTCTTCATCTTCAAAACTTCCTTTTCTTTTTCAGAACTGAAGCATCCAGTATTATAAAAGCCCTTCTTCTTTTCTTTTGAGTATCCTTGTGCCTTGATTTTTTTTTAAAGATACTATCTCACTAAGTAGCCCTGACTAGCCTGGAACTCACTATGTAGAGCAGGCTAGCCTCAAACTCAGATTCACCTGCTTCTGCCTCTTGAGTACCACCAAGTCAGCTATGCCTTCATTTTAAAATGATCAAATTATATTTCAAATGATAGGTACTGCCAAACTCCCACTTGGACTTGACATTTCCCCAAAGTACTGGTCACAATCTGACATCATTTTGTTTATTCCACTCACTGTCCCTTCTTCCCTGGTGAATAGTCCTTGAGGACCACCATCCCTGTCTGCTTCGTTTGCTGCTGTGCCTACAACACTGCTGTTGCTAAATAAGCAAATGAACCCATTCTCCATCCCTAGCACTGAAAATATTTGTACAAACAAAACATCAAATACCAAAATCATCATAAGTCAGAACAAAGTCAGGAAATAAAAAGAAAAAACATACATTATTAAAAAGTATAAAGAGGATCTGATAGGAGGAATAACTTCCAATGTTCGGTTGGACAGCTGTGGTTGAAATCCAGTAATTAAACATTTCAAAATAGCTAAAAGGATTTTTAAATGTTCTCAACACACAGAAACGATAATGTTTAAGGTGATGGATATGACAGTTATCCTGATCTGATCATCACACATTGTGCACATGTGTTGAAGTGCCACACTGTCCCTCATAAATATGTATAATTACTATGTCAATCCAAAATAGAAAAAAAAACATCTTTTTTGAGACAAGTTCTCACTATGTCACCCTGACTGGCCTGGAACTTTCTATGTAGACCAGGCTAGTCTTGAACTCACAGAACTCCTCCAGTCTCTACCTCTTGAGTGCTGAGAATGAAGACACATGTGCCACCTGTTCTAAAATTTTTTTGAAGAAGGATCTTTGGAAAAGAGGATCAGAAAGAGGGCCATCTGCATGACAAAATGTTGAACCTACTAAGCATCAGGTAATGGGTTTATACTAGGAAATTCAAGAGGGAGAATCCTATAATTGGACTAGCAGCTGTATGAGCAGATAGCATGTGGTAAGAAAGATGAAAAATGTGGTGGGCTGGATATGTGGCTCAATCAGTAGAGTATCTGCTTAGCACACATGAAGCCTAGAACAGTGTAAAACTGGGTGTGGTAGCATACTCCTGTAATCCCAGCATTTAGGAGGTAGAAGAATGAGAATCAAAAGTTCAAGGCCATCTTCAGCTACATAGTGAGTTTGAAGCCAGCCTAGGCTACATGAAACCTTGTCTCAAAACAAACAAAAAAGCTAAACACATACTACATACATTCAGTGTTGGCATATGGCAAAGGAAAGACAGTTTTACAGTGGAGCTTGGATTTTCAGGTTTGTTAACTTTAATTTGGGTATGATCATATTTAATATGGCTAAAAAATATCTGTCAGTTGATTATCTAAGTGTTTTTGTGCATACAGACTATTAACACAGCATCTCTAGCATTCCATGGTTGAGTAAAGCAGAATATTTTGAAAGGATGGATGT